CGGGCTTCATACTCGCACACAAACCCAAAACATACAAAATCAAACAAACCGACGCGCTCGCTACCACCCACTCGTCCCAGCGATCGCACACAGCCCACACAGGCCCCACCACGATCCGCGATCGACAGAAGAAGCACTGGTCGGACATCTCGATTCAACGAGTCGTGATCGGCTCAGCCACCCTGTCTCTTCGAACCAACTCCGTCTTGCTCACACGGCTTCACTTCACACTGTCCGAGGTCCTTGATGGACCCGTCCACATGTCGAGTCCGAGCGGCGTGGTGGTGTGGCATGCAAGCCGGACTCGATCTGCGCGACCCTGTCCGCAGCAAGAGCGGCCAGATTTTACCAGTCATCGGAAACAGGACGACTGTCAAACATCCACACCGGTATCATGGACTCAGATACACACTGGGAGGCGTGGGAGGGATCAGAGACGCTCGCCACGCATATCAAGCGCGGACGTGCGCGCGAGGCCAAAATGGCAAAAGCAGTCGCCCACCGTGGGGCTCGAACCCACGACCACAAGATTAAGAGTCTTGCGCTCTACCGACTGAGCTAGACGGGCTTCATACTCGCAAACAAACCCAAAACATACAAAATCAAACAAACCGACGCGCTCGCTACCACCCACTCGTCCCAGCGATCGCACACAGCCCACACAGGCCCCACCCCGATCCGCGATCGACAGAAGAAGCACTGGTCGGACATCTCGATTCAACGAGTCGTGATCGGCCCAGCCACCCTGTCTCTTCGAACCAACTCCGTCTTGCTCACACGGCTTCACTTCACGCTGTCCGAGGTCCTTGATGGACCCGTCCACATATCGAGTCCGAGCGGCGTGGTGGTGTGGCATGCAAGCCGGACTCGATCTGCGCGACCCTGTCCGCAGCAAGAACGGCCAGATTTTACCAGTCATCGGAAACAGGACGACTGTCAAACATCCACACCGGTATCATGGAGTCAGATACACACTGGGAGGCATGGGAGGGATCAGGGACGATCGTCACGCATATCAAGAGCGGACGTGCGCGCGAGGCCAAAATAGCAAAAGCAGTCGCCCACCGTGGGGCTCGAACCCACGACCACAAGATTAAGAGTCTTGCGCTCTACCGACTGAGCTAGACGGGCTTCATACTCGCACACAAACCCAAAACATACAAAATCAAACAAACCGACGCGCTCGCTACCACCCACTCGTCCCAGCGATCGCACACAGCCCACACAGGCCCCACCCCGATCCGCGATCGACAGAAGAAGCACTGGTCGGACATCTCGATTCAACGAGTCGTGATCGGCCCAGCCACCCTGTCTCTTTGCACCAACTCCGTCTTGCTCACACGGCTTCACTTCACACTGTCCGAGGTCCTTGATGGACCCGTCCACATATCGAGTCCGAGCGGCGTGGTGGTGTGGCATGCAAGCCGGACTCGATCTGCGCGACCCTGTCCGCAGCAAGTACGGCCAGATTTTACCAGTCATCGGAAACAGGACGACTGTCAAACATCCACACCGGTATCATGGAGTCAGATACACACTGGGAGGCATGGGAGGGATCAGAGACGATCGTCACGCATATCAAGAGCGGACGTGCGCGCGAGGCCAAAATAGCAAAAGCAGTCGCCCACCGTGGGGCTCGAACCCACGACCACAAGATTAAGAGTCTTGCGCTCTACCGACTGAGCTAGACGGGCTTCATACTCGCACACAAACCCAAAACATACAAAATCAAACAAACCGACGCGCTCGCTACCACCCACTCGTCCCAGCGATCGCACACAGCCCACACAGGCCCCACCCCGATCCGCGATCGACAGAAGAAGCACTGGCCGGACATCTCGATTCAACGAGTCGTGATCGGCCCAGCCACCCTGTCTCTTTGCACCAACTCCGTCTTGCTCACACGGCTTCACTTCACACTGTCCGAGGTCCTTGATGGACCCGTCCACATATCGAGTCCGAGCGGCGTGGTGGTGTGGCATGCAAGCCGGACTCGATCTGCGCGACCCTGTCCGCAGCAAGAGCGGCCAGATTTTACCAGTCATCGGAAACAGGACGACTGTCAAACATCCACACCGGTATCATGGAGTCAGATACACACTGGGAGGCATGGGAGGGATCAGAGACGATCGTCACGCATATCAAGAGCGGACGTGCGCGCGAGGCCAAAATAGCAAAAGCAGTCGCCCACCGTGGGGCTCGAACCCACGACCACAAGATTAAGAGTCTTGCGCTCTACCGACTGAGCTAGACGGGCTTCATACTCGCACACAAACCCAAAACATACAAAATCAAACAAACCGACGCGCTCGCTACCACCCACTCGTCCCAGCGATCGCACACAGCCCACACAGGCCCCACCCCGATCCGCGATCGACAGAAGAAGCACTGGTCGGACATCTCGATTCAACGAGTCGTGATCGGCCCAGCCACCCTGTCTCTTCGCACCAACTCCGTCTTGCTCACACGGCTTCACTTCACACTGTCCGAGGTCCTTGATGGACCCGTCCACATATCGAGTCCGAGCGGCGTGGTGGTGTGGCATGCAAGCCGGACTCGATCTGCGCGACCCTGTCCGCAGCAAGAGCGGCCAGATTTTACCAGTCATCGGAAACAGGACGACTGTCAAACATCCACACCGGTATCATGGAGTCAGATACACACTGGGAGGCATGGGAGGGATCAGAGACGATCGTCACGCATATCAAGAGCGGACGTGCGCGCGAGGCCAAAATAGCAAAAGCAGTCGCCCACCGGGGGGCTCGAACCCACGACCACAAGATTAAGAGTCTTGCGCTCTACCGACTGAGCTAGACGGGCTTCATACTCGCACACAAACCCAAAACATACAAAATCAAACAAACCGACGCGCTCGCTACCACCCACTCGTCCCAGCGATCGCACACAGCCCACACAGGCCCCACCCCGATCCGCGATCGACAGAAGAAGCACTGGTCGGACATCTCGATTCAACGAGTCGTGATCGGCCCAGCCACCCTGTCTCTTCGCACCAACTCCGTCTTGCTCACACGGCTTCACTTCACACTGTCCGAGGTCCTTGATGGACCCGTCCACATATCGAGTCCGAGCGGCGTGGTGGTGTGGCATGCAAGCCGGACTCGATCTGCGCGACCCTGTCCGCAGCAAGAGCAGCCAGATTTTACCAGTCATCGGAAACAGGACGACTGTCAAACATCCACACCGGTATCATGGAGTCAGATACACACTGGGAGGCATGGGAGGGATCAGGGACGATCGTCACGCATATCAAGAGCGGACGTGAGCGCGAGGCCAAAATAGCAAAAGCAGTCGCCCACCGTGGGGCTCGAACCCACGACCACAAGATTAAGAGTCTTGCGCTCTACCGACTGAGCTAGACGGCTTCATACTCGCACACAAACCCAAAACATACAAAATCAAACAAACCGACGCGCTCGCTACCACCCACTCGTCCCAGCGATCGCACACAGCCCACACAGGCCCCACCACGATCCGCGATCGACAGAAGAAGCACTGGCCGGACATCTCGATTCAACGAGTCGTGATCGGCCCAGCCACCCTGTCTCTTCGAACCAACTCCGTCTTGCTCACACGGCTTCACTTCACGCTGTCCGAGGTCCTTGATGGACCCGTCCACATGTCGAGTCCGAGCGGTGTGGTGGTGTGGCATGCAAGCCGGACTCGATCTGCGCGACCCTGTCCGCAGCAAGAACGGCCAGATATTACCAGTCATCGGAAACAGGACGACTGTCAAACATCCACACCGGTATCATGGACACAGATACACACTGGGAGGCGTGGGAGGGATCAGAGACGCTCGCCACGCATATCAAGAGCGGACGTGCGCGCGAGGCCAAAATGGCAAAAGCAGTCGCCCACCGTGGGGCTCGAACCCACGACCACAAGATTAAGAGTCTTGCGCTCTACCGACTGAGCTAGACGGGCTTCATACTCGCACACAAACCCAAAACATACAAAATCAAACAAACCGACGCGCTCGCTACCACCCACTCGTCCCAGCGATCGCACACAGCCCACACATGCCCCACCACGATCCGCGATCGACAGAAGAAGCACTGGTCGGACATCTCGATTCAACGAGTCGTGATCGGCCCAGCCACCCTGTCTCTTCGAACCAACTCCGTCTTGCTCACACGGCTTCACTTCACACTGTCCGAGGTCCTTGATGGACCCGTCCACATGTCGAGTCCGAGCGGCGTGGTGGTGTGGCATGCAAGCCGGACTCGATCTGCGCGACCCTGTCCGCAGCAAGAACGGCCAGATATTACCAGTCATCGGAAACAGGACGACTGTCAAACATCCACACCGGTATCATGGAGTCAGATACACACTGGGAGGCATGGGAGGGATCAGAGACGATCGTCACGCATATCAAGAGCGGACGTGCGCGCGAGGCCAAAATAGCAAAAGCAGTCGCCCACCGTGGGGCTCGAACCCACGACCACAAGATTAAGAGTCTTGCGCTCTACCGACTGAGCTAGACGGGCTTCATACTCGCACACAAACCCAAAACATACAAAATCAAACAAACCGACGCGCTCGCTACCACCCACTCGTCCCAGCGATCGCACACAGCCCACGCAGGCCCCACCCCGATCCGCGATCGACAGAAGAAGCACTGGTCGGACATCTCGATTCAACGAGTCGTGATCGGCCCAGCCACCCTGTCTCTTCGAACCAACTCCGTCTTGCTCACACGGCTTCACTTCACACTGTCCGAGGTCCTTGATGGACCCGTCCACATATCGAGTCCGAGCGGCGTGGTGGTGTGGCATGCAAGCCGGACTCGATCTGCGCGACCCTGTCCGCAGCAAGAGCGGCCAGATATTACCAGTCATCGGAAACAGGACGACTGTCAAACATCCACACCGGTATCATGGAGTCAGAAACACACTGGGAGGCGTGGGAGGGATCAGGGGCGATCGTCACGCATATCAAGCGCGGACGTGCGCGCGAGGCCCAAAATAGCAAAAAGCAGTCGCCCCACCGTGGGGCTCGAACCCACGACCACCAAGATTAGAGTCTTGGCGCTCTTACCCGACTGGAGCTAGA